GAATTAAATCGTACTGCAGCAGCAGCTTCTTGGCAACTGCCTCATGGGCCTCCCCAATGCCGTACAGCGGCGTGTGAAAGGCACGCTCGCCCACCAGCGTCCTGTATCCGCGATGAGGGGGTTGCGTGTGGAAAAAACGCACATACATGCAAACATACATACATACATACATACTCACAGAAAGTCTATCACACGTCGCTGGTGACTACGGAGCTCACTTCGATTTCGGTATGAAGTTGCTCTCCAATGTGGCTTCATCGGCATTGTGAAACCATCATCGCGGCTCCGAATATCACTTACATACATACACACACAAAAAAAATCATTAACACACACGCAAAGAAAGCATGGAAGGATGTAAACCTCTGACTACATAAGAAGGTGAGCGTGAGTTGGGGAATACTGCTTTGCCGTACAATTACCGTACAATGTACTGCCATACACGTCTATATCTAGGCCGCCGGCCTATCACTCACCGTATGTTGTAGTTATCCGCTACGGGGGTCGAGTACAGCTCCCATACGGAAGCAGACGCGTTGCAAAATATCTTGCTAAATATCTCCAATGACTTTCCCTTCTGAAAGAGCTCGGACCGCAGCCGTACGAGCATGTACTTGATATTACTTGCCAATCTCTCCAGAGGCTCTCTGAGGCAGGGCCGTTTGCCGGCCAGTTCGTTACTGTATGTTTGTTAATTATTGCCAACGAACATGGCAATTCGTTGACAAGAGCTCGATTACGTTTCATTATAGCTTCTTTAGGTTCTTAAGGTTGGGTTGCTTGCGTGCCCTCCAATCACCCCAGGGTTCTGCGATTCGATTTATTCTATTCATAACGGTTTTTTTCGTAATCCGGATTGGCCCAACCTTGCGTGCGGCTTATCCCCTCCCCCCCCCCTTCCACACGGCAAACCCGAAGCACGTCCCCGTACCGGATGTTGATCACGTTGACAAACTCGGGGCAGATGTGGGTGCCGTACATGTCATCCGTACCGCCCAGCAACGTGTATTCGTTGGCTATGTACCGGTAGCCGTTGGCCCGAGCTGCCTGGAGTCGAACGGCGCAGTCTCGAACGGAGGTCAGCCGCCCCTCCACATCGAAACGGGAGCACACCCTGGCGCGTGGCGGTGTGGCCAACGCGGCCGAAATATCAGCGCAAAAATAAGCATATATAACACACAAAATGTACTACATGTTTACGATTTGCCAAAATGGCGGGTGGAGGAGTTTGTGATGTCATCATTTTGATGAGCTTGGCCGGCGGTGCCGTGGAGTGGTGTTGGCGTGGGATTGTGGGATTGTGGGACTCCCTCGATCATTGCCGGTACACACATACATCTACCACTACCAGCCCAAACTGGAATGTCCGTGGAACCTGGTGTGGGGGGTGTTGCAGTGGGCTCCAGACTCACGAAGAGTGATGGTGATACTTCCCAACCCCGCCCGCCACCGCCGCATGTGGGCCCATGTGGGCGTGTATGTGTCATCACACCCTGAGCACTGGCCCAGGCGCGCGAATGCTACTGCTACTGCTACTGCTATTGTTACTGCAACACTACCATACCGTACTGCAAGGCTCACACACAAGCAAGCGCGCGAACGCGTGCTTCAACATCCGGCACGGGTACGCGGCATACAACGACATCCGTACAGCCGTACTCACTGTCTTGTGCCGTTGCGCAGCACGGGGACCCCCAGCTGCCGCATCAGAGTGCCGTTGATCCAGCGGCAGTCGTCATCAAAGGCGGGCACACGGCCGCTGGTGCGTCCGGGGCTCCGACAGCCGTTCCCTCCTGCAGCAGTAGCAGCAGCAGCAGTAGCAGTAGTCACGGTAAAAAAGATATCAGACATAAAATCAGCAGTAGCAGCAGTAGTAGCAGTAGTAGCAGCAGCAATCATAATCCGGAGATCACCACAGCCACGCGGGGAGTTCCATGAAGCCGGGAGTTGTTGGGGGGAGGGAGTGGGGGGGGGGCGGGAGGGGGGAAAGTAGGATAGGATGCGGGAGGGAAGTTTATGTGTGTGCAACAAGTCAACTGCCCGGCGTCCAAAAAGGGTGGAGGTGCCGGAAAACGGACCGGTGTCAGGGGCCGGGAAGGTGACTGCGGAGCGCGCACTGCCATTACTAGCACCCCTACCCCCAACCCGACCACCTCTCCCAACAGCGATATACATATATACATAAACAGCCACCACCACCCGCTCCACTCAGCTCCTCACTTGCGGCCGTGTACCAGCTGGTGCCGCCCGCCTTGGAGATGTGGAAGAACTCCATGATGGCACGTTGCGACACGGACTCCACGTGGATGTCGTACGCCTGTACGACATGTACATGTATGACATTTAATGAACCTAATGGTTAGCTGCTTGGATCTGATCTGGGTCATCCTGAAATTTTGTTTTTGGGGGGGAAATATTTTTGGGTTTCATCCAAAATGCGTTGCAAAAAACGTTCTCTGTTCTAGTAGATGGTGCACAAGGAATTCTTTTGCCATGTAAAGGAGGGTTATGAAAGAATTAAAACATAAGGCAATCCATTTTTTTCCATTCAGGGAAAGCAGCGCGGAATAGGAAAGGGGATTAAAGGTTCCAACAGCAAGCCCTGACTGGACGTTACTGAACCCAGCGTCAACCTTAACGCCGCTCTCGTTCCACTCTCCTTACCAGCGCGACTATTCGGGACATCTCCACCGCCACCTGCTCCGTTCCAAGCATCTCCTGGTGCAGATCACTCAGCCATCCCAAAAGCAGTTGCGACATCAATACCCGCCGTACAAACGGCAAACCGCCACAGTACTGCGTGCCATCATTGGCACCTCCTTTAACTTCGCCGTCGCCGTCGCCGCCATCGGTGCGGTCGCCGTCGTCGTCATCGGTGCCGTACGTGTACTTATCTTCGCCGAGAGCCACGCTGCTGACGCGGCGGCTGCCACCCTCGCACCCTGGCCCGCCGCGGCTGCCTCCATCGCCGCCATTATCGCCGCCGGTGCGATTTCCAACTTCCAAGGCTTTCAGGTGTGTCCCACTCGCAAGCCTTCTTCGAATCGGCAACTCGGACTGATTTTCCCCCCTTCTAATAACGTCGGATCTCCGAGCCAGCCGTCTCTTTTCCCGCCCGAAGGCTTTACCTGACCATTCTTCTAAGCCGTCGCCATCGCGCACCTCTTCTACCTCTACGTCCGGCTCCTCCTCCGCATCCTCAACCCTGTCCTCCGCCACCATCGCCGCATGGTGGTCCACCGCTGCTGGTCTCTGCTGGCGCTGTCTTCGTTGGTGGTCCTGCAGGAAGGCGGTGGCGGCTGCGGTCCAGTTGGCCAGGGCTTGCCGGCTGGTCGGCCCGCGGGGGTAGGTGCGCAGGACGGAGGACAGGAAGGACAGGGTGTCGCCCTGGAGCAGCTCGGGAGCGGGGGCAGGGCAGGAGGACGGCTGCGCCGAATTCGGCACTGAGGTGTTCCAGCTCTTGCTGTTGTTGTTCTTGTTGTTGCTGTTGCCCGTGCTATTGTCGCCACTGCTGTTGTCCTTGCGGTTGATGCCGGGCATTTCTTTGTTGTTATTGCATCCCTTGGCGTTTTGTAATAGCTGTGCAGCAATCTGCAGAATCTGGCCCAAGTGTGCGACAATGTCAACATGCCGACCATCACCCGAAGATCTTGAGGAGGGATCATGACTGGCGGTTCTACGCGCACCGTCCAGCTCTGATTGTATTAGGATGAGCAATTTGTGAACAGCTTTCACACTCTCCGTACTGTCTGAGGACATGGCCAGATGCAACGTGCGGCCCTTGGCGCCCTCCAAGCTTGTGCGCAGCTCAAAAAGGCGTAAAGCTTCATCCGCTGGGCACAAATATTTATGCCCCATCGCGCTGCACTGCGCCAATAGCGTGATAGCAACAACTGAAAAACCCAACATGGCGGGGTGTTTAGCACATCAGCCAGCAACAAAGGTATTGCGTTAGTCAGGAAATAACTATTAAATTGAAGTTATAATCGGTACCCTCGCATGCCCAACTTTGAGGTTAATCAGCTCTTAAAACCCGAGGTTTGGGAATTCTGCGCTGCTGGTGTCTGTCTGGTAAACCAAAACCTCAAACTCTTGTCGCCCGCTATTACCGTGAAATGAAAAAGTGTCACCTCGCACATCAACTAGCGTCCACCGAGAGGATAGTACCATTGTGCGCGCCATCCAACTGCATGGCAGATCAAAATCCCGTGACGCCTCGGTGCATCCGACATGGGCAATCCTCCTTTTCTCTTTATTCCTCCCTTTCTCTTTCCTTCTCCTTGTTTTTTCTCCTTGTTTTTTCCATTTTTGTCCATGACTACTACATGACGGCTGCGGATTGTGCTTTCTCCACTTCCTGCGACCCAAGTTTGGAAAGTTCCCCAACATGTAAAGTTCTGAGACGTCCGTGAACCAACGTGACGCAGCGTGACGGTCATCGCGGTGGGACCCAACCGCCCAGTCAAACTCCCATTTCCTTTGCTTGCGAAGCAAGGAGCACGTCTCTTGCAGCCACCTCCTAGTAACGAACTTTTGCCGTGAAACGACACCATAACTAAAGCTCGAACGGAGCTATGCATCCCCCAACAGCCCCAACGTTCCCAAACTGTACACCGACCCCCCCTTTGATAAATCCCCAAACCATCCTCCAAAAGACCATCACCACCACCAGATACACACACTCTCTCGTCTCCCGATTCCCTGCCGTAGTCCACCCTCCTATTGATGATGGAGCTGAAGGCCTCCAACAGCCCAGAACGCCTCCCCATCCCCAAAAGGAAAAGACACTACATATTTTCCACAGCCTCCGTTTCCCTTCCCTCCACAAGTAAACAGCAACAACAACACCGGCATTAGCGGCAAGGAGCAGCGCGCACACATACATACACACGCACACACATATATACACGCGCATACACACAAACAGGATTCACATCTCCCCTCCGAAGCCGCCGCTGCCGAAGAAGTCCTTGTTGCCGCGGACCTTGGCCTTGTCCTCCGATCGCAGCTTGGGACAGTTGGTGACGCGGTGGCCCAGCCCACCGCAGTAGCTGCAGCCCTTGACGCCGCTCTTCTCCTCCAACTCGGCCTGGGAAGATTGTGGCGGGGAGAGAGGGAAGTGGCAATGAAGAGGAAAATGAGGAGGCGGGGAGGGAGGGAGGTGGGGGGTGTAGGGAAGTGGGGGGGAGGGAAGGGAGGAAAACAAAAAACACAACAAAAGGCCACGACGGGAAACAACTGGTGGAGACCAAAGCGGGACTTGCCGCAGGGGAAAGAGTGGGAGGGAAGTGGGAGGGGACGGGCGGAGGAAGTGGGGGGGAGAAGGGGAGGGAAGCGAACCACGAACGAGTGATGCTGAAGGGGGGAGGATGTGTGTGGGGGGGTGGGGGGTGGCGGGCGGCGATTAGTGAAGGCGGCACAGGAGCCTCATCTGAAGGCGATAGACATACATACGGTACCGGATACTGGGGCTGTACCATACGGCTTCCACGTTGGCTGTGGCATGCAAGCGCCGAGGCGAGACGGGGGCCCGGGGAAGGAGCTGCACAGTGGGGGCGTTGGACAGTCAGTCTTCCTTATAGATAGTTATCTCTGTAAAATCTTCAAGTCCTCTTCCACGGTTTTACATTTGGATCACGGTTTCACGGCTGGACTTTCGCCTGCATGCGGGTGCCTCTCCATGGAGGATACGCGCGCTCGTGTGGTTCACACGCTGTTTGGGTGTACACCGGCATGCGGGTGTGTGGGAAGGAAGCGCGGAATGGAAGGCCCGGCCCGGCAGTACGGCAGTACAGGATCTGGTGAGCAGTAAAGAAACACATGTATAATATAGGGCCCCGGTAGGCCCCGCCCCGGTAGGCCCCGCCCCGGTAGGCCCCGCCCCGGTAGGCCCCGCCCCGGTAGGCCCCGGTAGGCCCCGGTAGGCCCCCGCACGCCGTCATCCCCCCTTCTATCCCCCTCCCCCCTCTACCTGGGCCTCCAGAGGGTCATCCAGCGCCAACAGGAAGTGCGGCACCCGCTGCTTGGCTTCCCTGCAGTGTGTGTGTATGTATGTATGTGTGTGTATTGTGTGTGCAACAGGGGGTTAGGAGTGAGCGCGGAGGGAAGGGGAGGTAACAAAGCGAGGAGCGAGCCCAGGTTGCGGCACAATGGAAAGCCAGCGACATCATTAGCAGCAGTCGCAGTCGCAGTCGCAGTCGCAGTCGCAGTCGCAGTCGCAGTCGCAGTCGCACAAAGCGAAAGCGGGAGAGGCGGGTTAAAGTCAGTGGTGGTGAAGAATCCCGTGCCCTTGCTTTCTCGCAGCCACCCAGCAGCACCGAAATACTTCACACCTACTTTACCCCCATCATCACACCACCCAATCCACCCGATCCACCCAATCACCCACCTCCAGCCCCCCACCTCACCCATCCGCCCACCTGAGCAAGTGTTTGAGGTCCAGTAAAATGGTTTCGGAGCACTGTTTGGTGTTGATGAAGGTGGTGGCCACACCGGTCTTACCACAGCGGCCCGTGCGACCTGAGAGATGAGGGATAGGGGGGAGGGGGGAGGGGGAGGACGTACAACTGGCGAAAGAAGCAGAACCCAGAGATAGACGGATAGTCCAGGGGGGGAAGGGGGGGACGGGAGTCCATCACCCGTTCATGTGTGTGGTTACTTCCATGCACCCCACCCAGCCCCTGCATGGCCCGGCGGGGCCCCCCTATCCCCACCTCTCCCATCTCTCCCCCCTACCCCCACAGCTATATACCCCCGTATACACCCTGCCTACCACCCCACGACCACCACTATTGCCATCCTCTCCGCACACTACACATCCGCACACACACATAAGACACACACTCAGCAGTAGCACGACATCCGCTCCCAACTGACCGATTCTGTGGACGTAGTTCTCGATTTCCTCGGGCATGTCGTAGTTGATGACGTGCTGGATGTCCGGGAAGTCCAAACCCTAGGGTGGCAGACCGACGGGAAGAGAGGTGGGGTGGGTTGGGGTGGGTTGGGGTGGGTTGGGGTGGGTTGGGGTGGGTGTGAGGAGAAAGAGAGGGAGGGGGGACCATAAGAGGATAAAATGGTTAAGGCAAGCACCACCCATTACCCATACAAACATTTCTCCCACCTAAATGCAACGCCCCTGGCCAGCCCTTGGAAAAATCTAAGCACAACCAAGTATAGCTGTGCTTTACCATGTGCGTACACACACACACACACACACACACACAACACCAATCCCCGTGCAGCTGTTCGAGCCACTCCCGAACCGTTTTTTTTCTTTTGCCGAACAGAAGCCGCTTCTTACTTGACCACCTCTGCTGAGTGATGGCTGGCTTAGAGGTTCGATGGCCCTTAACATGCCTTGCCCTCCCTTGCTCTCCCTTGCCTTGCCTTCACTGTAAGGACCCTCCTCTTCTTCCTTCACCCCTTTCATCAGGACTCCTCCCCCCCCTGGTGTGGCCCTCCCCACCAGGCCCCTTCCTCCCTCACCCATACCAACCCTCGGCAGTTGACTCTTTAATCCACCATCACCATCACCATATAATTCCCCCTCTGCCCACTTCCAATGGAGGTAACACAGAATTAGACCTCCACAGCACTCCGAAGGTCCCCAAACCCATTCCCCGCGGCCCCGCGGCCCCCCGCCCCCCATCCGCCCCCCAACCCCTCACCTTGGACGCCACATCCGTGGCCACCAGCACGTCCTTCTCCCCCGCCTTGAACTGGTGGATGGCGGCGTGGCGGTCCTCCTGGGCCTTATCTCCGTGCACTGCTACAGCCTCAACACCCTGTTGGGAGGTGCGGAGCAGGTGGGGGTTACAAGGGGGGTGGGAGGAGGGGGGAAGGGGAAGGGAAAACCCAAGCAATATCCCAGCTTTCCCCCCCCCCCCAAAAAAATCCACACTGTGACAGCGGTTTCCCCCCTCGTGCCCTCCACAACAGCCCCCATACTCGCCTACGCATACCTCCCCCCCATACACCCGCACTCACCCAACCACACTCACCCACACCCACACCCACACCCACCTGCACCATCAGGTACTCGTGTATAGCGTCAACGTCCCGCTTGTTCTCCGCGAAAATGAGCACGGGAGGGGCGGTCTTCTGGAGGCACTCGAGCAAGTACGGCAGTTTGGCCTCCTCCTTGACGTACTCCACCTCCTGAATCACGTCCATGTTGGCCGCGCCTGGTGGGGACGGGGTTGGTTAGGGGCCCTTTGACGCGCGCGCGTGTGCGTGTGTGTGTGTGCTTGTGTGTGCGCTTGTGTGTGTGTGTGGTAGTGGTGGGTAATGGATGGAGCGTGGGCGACAGCTCGAGCGAGAAGGGGAGAAGGGAGAGAAGTGTACACCCAAAATAACAACTCATGCAAAAAGACGACACCAGACTGCGGCCGTGTGGAAGCGCACCAAGAGCTGTACAACAATTACCTATCATTACGACAACTTCTCGACGCCAAACACCCCCCCAAAAAACCCTTCCCCCAGAACCCCCTCTCCTCCCCCCCC